TGGACATAAATACATGGTAACGGCCTGCGAGAGATGAAGTTGGGGATGGCTGGTTTTTGAGAATTTGATAAATGACAAGGGCTTATTTGCAATTTGGATATTTTAATAAAATTCAGTTGAGTTCATGGGTAATTACGAGTGCACATTAACATTATTTTAATGCACATCGATGTATTCAAGAATGCACAATAAACAAATTGATATATTCAACAATGAACAATAAACAAAATTAATATTAGTGATTATAGAAAAAAATAAAATAATAAAAAGAATATTAGTGATTATAGTATTCTACACTAGTATTATACCGATTGCACATTAATACGTTTGTAAATGCACATTAGCATCAAAAGTGTGTGTGTGTGGATGTGTGAGTTCACATATATTACAATTTTGATTATTTCAATTCGGTTTAGATATTATTTTAAAAATAAATAAATAAATTATAATAAAGAAAAGTGAAATAACATAATCGATTGTTTTATATAAAAAAAATAATTTTATATTTTATTTTTATATATATATTTTGTTTTCAGCTAACAATAATATAAAATATTAAATAAAAACGTGTAAAAAGCTAAATATATTTTTATTATATATACAAATTGATAATGCGCTATAAAAATACTCGCTTAATAGACCGCACAATAATGTAATCTAAGTGCACATTAGTGTCTGTGAGAATGCACATTATCATTTTAAGCATTTCAATATTATATTTGTTCAACTAAAATTAATAGAAAAAATATCAAATAAATATATTAAAATAATAAATAGAATTTTATATTAAATTTATTTAAATATTATTATTAATAATAATATTGTTGTTGTTGTTGTTATTATTATTATTATTATTATTATTATTATTATTATTATTATTATTATTATTATTATTATTATTATTATTATTATTATCTATACATTTTTATGTGTTGCGAGTGCACAATAGTGTTAGACACGTTGCACATAAATGACTATTACATTGCACGTTAGCGACTAATACTGTCCGAACTAAAATATATTTTTTTGAAATTTTATATCCTGGCCGATTATCTATTTTTTCTTTAAATTTTAAAATACTAACTACAATATTATAAATATACATAATAATATAATTTGATTATTTTGGTTAAATCGTTTAAGTGACCAAGTAATCAATCATTTATGTTCAGTTTTAATTTAGATTGTGATAAAAATAAGTTCAATCAATGTCAGATAGATTACATATTAATAACGACCACAGTCGTGAACGATATTGTTGGATAAAATGCATATTATGTCTCACAACTGCACATTGTAGCTGATATGGGATACTATATACTGGACCGGTTCGCAGGGCTAATCAGAGAAAGATAGGCCGGTTCGTCGGACTACCTAAGTAAGAATGGGTCAAATGATATGGTCGAGCAAGATCAGGCACCTGCCGCGGAGGACAGAGAAGATAACAGCGACTAAGGAGACCAGAAGTGGTCGACAGATACAAGTCATTCGAGAAGCTGGTCGAGGAAGGGCGATCGAGGAGGGCGTGGACGTGTAGAACTGGTCGAATGTCGGAGTGCACAAGGGAATCTCCAGCACGTAAAGGGGAGGACACGCGGCAGACTATAAGTGGTTAATAGCCATAACAAACTCTGACACTCTCTGACAAAGGGGACGCTTTTCCTGACACCAAAGATAGTGGAGGCGTGCAGTTGTACGGACGAGCAGAGGACAGTTGGCCGAACTCGCCCTGCTCGCGCGTGCAGCTCAGGTAACTCGCCCTTATAAATAGGGGCGAGAATTCTAATTTTCGGTACAATCTCTGATACTCTCACATATTTCACTGATATACTTTCTCTCTCAAGATCTGACTTGAGCGTTGGAGGCTCTTCACCGGAAAACACTTCCGGTGTAAAAGTTTCGTGCAGGTTCCGCGTTCAACCGGCGAGGAGAACGAGTATAGAGCGACTTCCAGCCGTTCGGGGTGCGAGACTTTTATTATTGGCGCCGTCTGTGGGACTCTCGTTCGAAAAGTTGTGTTCTGAGCTCAGCTATGGCGGACGGAGTTCCTCGAGTGAATTTGCAGTCGTCATTTGATGAAGCGTGGACAACGACAAGACCGATGGGAGCAGGATCTCCACCCGGATTCTCTGGCCATCCCGAACACCGGTGACCCCAACGCCGATGCCCCTGAGTACAGCGATCCCGGGTGGAGAAGAAGGCACGAGCAGGGAGCTCGAGGCTCGTGAAGCAGCGCCAACGGCAGTCCTCACACTGCTGCAAGCAGGCCCGGTTGTGACGCAACAGAATGAACCAGCGGTGCAGACAGTGGTGCCACCGGCAGGAGGAGCGCCGCAACCTCCTGCTCAACAAATGGTGACCATGACGAGGGAAGAAATGCAGAGGA